CAAATTGCATTTCTTGTTGATAAAGATGTTTCATTCCCTCGACAGCTTAACATTTTAACGTGCATGTACACTGTCACATCCAACCACCCCTGAAAAGATATCGCCATCCGGTTTTTGGCCTGGCCTCAGGAACAGAACAAACATTCATGTAAGAAAAAGGAGAAGGAGGTCAGGTTGACACCTTGATTTGAATTTTGTGAAGATTGATCACAGCAGTTCAACAAAGCCAATCAACCCAATGCAAACAAATGATACAGCCTGTGGTAAACTGTTATTCCCAGCTCATCCATGAAACAAGTTCCGCCCCCTGTAAACAGTGTGAGAATATACATTAAGGGATGCTCCAACTCTGTCAAGCAGTGTGGCTTTAAATTTATTACCCTTGAACTGTTTGTTGTCTCATGTACATGTACACAGTAAGATGTGACCCAGCCTTGTGAGTTGGCTCCCAAGTTGTCGGGACTAATTGGAGTAAAAGGTATTTAAACAAATCTTACGCAGTGGTTATCAATGGAATTTCCATTTTCATTAGAATGCCATGCTATTGATACACATGCACAAATAAAGTGCTTCAAAGGCTGTCCCCTGAAAGACTAAACCTAATGCAAAAATCCACCAGAGACTCTAGATTGGGATGTGTTCGTAAAGGGATGTTTTGGGCGTTCAGACTTCATACAACGGACACTATAACAAAGTACCTGTTGGAGAGTCACAGTATTTGTGCCACATTGTGGGACATTCAAAAACAAGCATCAGACAGGGGGGGAGGCCATATGTGTCAATAAGCATCATGCAAACACCCATTCAAGTTCTGTTTTTGACTGAATACAGACAAACAAGTTCATTATCTGTAGTCCACAATATTTGCTTTCATCACAATGCTCCCTTTGTGCACACACATAGAGCTTGTACTGTAATTTGTAGTCCAAACATAAACAACTTCTATTGTATCAACTTCATGTTTTTAAGGGTACCCACAGAAAGCTAAGCCTTGCTTTCAACAACTGTATGATAAATATGTTTTTGTTATACTTTCAAGCATGACCAAGCATAACAATCCGGAAGAAAAATACAATCGGCAATAAAAATGCAAAATAAAAATATTGCACAGAATAAACTTCACAGCGAGGTAAACAGTTCTCAACAAAACTTACAAACACCACCAGCAGAAAAAAAAAATCAGAACCCAAGAGCAAAACAAAAATGACACTATGTGATGGAAGATGGAAGATCCAGAAAAATAATACAAATAACGGAATCTGAAGTTGGAATGTGACATTAACTCATTAACATACAACTGTCCACAACAGACTTCAGTCAGGGTCACAAAAAGCAACCTGCCTGGCAGCAGGTCCAGAGAACCACTGAAGTAGAACAAGAATTAGGAAACTCCGTGATAGAAGGTGAAGGACCCAAAGAAATAATAAACCTAGGAGTTGAACTTGGAGTGGGACATTAGGGGATTAAAACCTTGGCAAGTCATTAGCATACAACTACCAATGGTGGACTTCAGTCCAGGTCGGGACATACACCACCTGCCCCAGCAGGTCCAGATGGGCTGGCTCAGCTCAGCTCAGCAGTTTCTCCTCAACAGCTGGGCTGGCTGGCCCCCCATTATCAGGTGTGGCTGCCTCTGGGGATACACAAGGAGGGGAGAAGGGATTATGAAGTGTAAGGGCCATTATCACCCACTCCAGATAATCCCCTGGACAGGAGGGTGATGATAATGAGCCACTTATCACCTGCCCCTGCAGGGGGAGAGGAATCCTGCTGATGAGGTGTCCTAGATTCGGGTCAGTGGTAGCTTGTAAGGGGGGGAACCTCCCTTGGAGGCTGTGAAAGAGATTGGGAGACAGTATAAGGCAGGGCAAATGTCTCTTTTGCTGTGAATCGGCAACGTCTAAAATATTCACAATCTTATCCCTGCATCTATCAGTTGTGCCAGCTGATTCAAAGGACATTATGAGGCCACTGATCTGAGTTTACTTCTGATCTGAGGACATATCCTTGTCCATCTAAGCCAGCCATGAGCAAATACTGCCACCTAAGTGAAATTCCAAAAGGGTCTCCTGACTTTAACCACTTATCCAAGAAAGAAGTAAATTTTGTTTTATAACATTGAACGAAAAAACAAGAAAAATTTAACAAACCGAAGCAAATCATGATCTTTTCAATTCTGGAGGATACCAGTTTGAAATGATGTTTCTTCACATCACAGATAAAAGATTACATGTATTTTTCTCTTCAATGACTCTTCATCAGTGTTACGAATGCTTCTACTTCTAATTAAATACATGTCTATTCATCAAGAACAATGCGTGCCCTTGACTTGAAGTCATGTGCAAAATGGGCAAACATTTTACTCGGACATGTGTTCAATGACCTTGGGGAAGTACAGGGTAAAGTGAAAAGACTTTTCAAATACACAGGGTATCCCCCTAAAAATCCAAAAGTAACATTTTTTTCCCAAACTTAATTGTTGTTTGATGTATCAAATTCAAGCTTTGGTGTTTTCTACTTGTACTGAAAATTTCAATTGAAGTTCACATTGCGTTGTGGAGATAGACAACTCATTGTTTTGTTTTGTCCTAAGTTTTAAAAGGTTTATCTTGCAAGAGTACATTCCATCACTAAATTCAAATTCTAAATTATCACAGAACTGTTTTGGTTCTTTAATTCTTGGAAACTTTCTTAGTTCTAAACTTGACGAAACTGATACCTCAGAAGGTGAGGAATTTTTTATTTTTTGTGCAGTTACACAGTTGAAATAGTTTGTCTCAGAGAAAACAACTTCTGTTGAATTTGTGCAATTTACCACTCACAGTCAATTTATAACAAGAAGCTGATCTTATTTACTTCTGCAACATTAATCAGTTTGAACCAGTTTGGGATCCTGTTTGTTTGTTGATAGAACATAAAAGAGGTTTTAAATAACACAAAAGAACCCTTTCCAGTTCAGTATCATCATTCTGTTGGCCTTTCTAATGATCCCATGTGTTGAAGGGATAGTAAATGGCTTGAAAAACATTTGGATTGGTGTGCTAAATCCCACTGCATAGAACAAAAAAGTTGTTGTCTTACATAATCAAGATTATCTCTGCAGTGCATCAGAAGATTGAAATGAAATCTTCCATTTTGAAAAAATTACATTCTGAACTTCAGGTTGATACTACAGGTAACAATTTCTGACTTTTGGGGGAGAAAATAAATGTTACTTGGGGGTTGTGCTTTTTAGAGGGGCACCCAGTATGTAAGTGTACACACACAATGCTTGGCAACTCTAATAGGCCCAATACCCAGGGGATTCTGCTTATATCTACCACTTGTGCAACAAAAGATTTCTTTGAATTGAGTCCTTTGTGTGTTCAATCTTTTTTTACTACATGTTCTTGGGAAGAATGGGAAACTGATTGGCTGACAGCCAAGTATGCTGCAAATATAGTTATGGTTATAGATTGAATATACTAGTATCAGGAAGTATGGCATTCAAGTTTAAATAATAAGAACTTTGTGGGGCCTCATTTTTGGAAACTGGTTGCAAATTTTATGTCAGTAACCTGTTTGGCCAATAACTGTTCATCTTTTAAAGGAATACTCAAATATCCTCTGCAAACAGTAATAAGTTAATTAAGCGCTCTTAAACGGTTTGCCAACTTGAGAAGTTCAAACACTTGTTGGTTAATTATTACTGTTAGGTAAATTTGGACAGAGCTTTTGGGACTTCTGAGTGTGCCAACTAGATTTCTGATCACCCACTATGTCAAACCATAAATGTGATCTCAGCAACTATAAAACAAGTATATACAGCTGTGCTTGGGCCTCCCTAGATGCCCCCTTCTCACCAAATAAGCAAATAATAAAGCATGTTTTAAGAGTCCATAAGCTGAATGGTAAACAAGGGTCTTGAACAAAATTTGGGTGCCCAACCCTTCCCCCCCCCCCGTGACTGAAATATTCTCACCACACAACCTTAGCTTCAATTTCTTTCCAGGAAAGTGTCACCAGCTGAAATACTAAATGTTGAAATTGACAGCAGGATAACTATTTGACAGATTTTAGTGTCACATGTTTGGGAACATGTATAAACTGTTTACTTACGTGGCATTACTGTACAAATTGTTTTTATTTTGGCTATATGTAAAGGACAGCCTGGTAAGGCACTGTGTGGGCAATGTTTCTTGTTGTAGCTAGATCTTGTTTTTTGGTGGTTTTTTTTAACTTACCTTATTCTTATCTAGATAAATACTGTGGTTAAGAGCACGGAGAACTTTGGAGAAGTTATAATGCGAGAGTTTATGGCCGTTAGCTCACTGAGGATAAGTTTGCTATGTCCACAATGTAAGTGATACGAAGGTAACAAGTTAAGTTCACATTGACACGGAGCATCTCCGATGTGACATCCTGGTGTTGCCTTGTCATCTGAGAGGAGCTGACGTCCACTTGGAACTACCCAAGGTGCTACCGGGTCTATCAGCTGACCAACAGAGGAGTCAAGATCTGCCATCACGTTGGTCTCAAACTTCAAAGATGAGTTTGTCATGAACCTGCTGCTCATCAGGTGCATGTGTGACCCCTTTTTTTTTTCACTTTTTCTAGCAAAGGAGGGCTCCCTCTCAGCACGGCAATGCCTTGTCTGATCTTGTTGGCTGAGTCGTTTGTAAAGGAAGAGGGGGGGATGATAAAGTATGTAGGCATGTGGGACTTTCAGCGTTGGATTTCCCACGCCCTGATAATGCTGAACCTCCTCATCAGCTGGCACTGTTCGCAAAGATGCATCCTCGTCACTATTACATTGAGCGGTGATGCATGCATCACTTCGTTCAATGTGCTTGCGTCATTGCCAGACAGCTGTGACAAAATTTGGTCGTCCTATCTCTGACAATGAGAAGGCATTGTATGCACTTAATGGGAGCCAGCCACTGCACTCAAAGTGCAAAAATGTGTAATCCAAACCTTCTTGTGGTAATGCACCTTTCCTAAAAAAAGATAGAATGCAAAGTAGAACTTTACTGAAATGAACACTACTCGACCTTTCAGACAAACATCCCCCCCAAGAAAAAAAATATTTTATTTTCCAAACACAACAATTATCAAGATGGAAAAGTTGCCTTGAAAACAATATTTTTGTGTTATTCATTGCAGTACTGTCCTATTTTTGTAGATTTGTAGTTGTAAAGGATATTTTAAAGTCTACTTCATTTAAACAAGGCATTATGAGATCTGAAGATTGTTAGCAATGTATAATTAAGCTTCTCTAAACAAGAGTTCAATTTAACCTACGTGGCTTCAAACAGTGTAATACATACAAACTTCATACAGAGTCACAGTTCCAGACACTAAAATGATCTGGTCAAATGTTGTACCAGTAAGACGCTCAAAATGATCATTGGAGTAATTTCATACCGATATTTTCTACTGTGTAAACGGAACGTGGTTCACAAATGTCAACTTTGGAAGTTGCTGACCTGTCATGTGTCCAACTACAGGAGGATTTCATAAGATGATAGTTTGTTCATGACCTTTGGAGAAAAAAAATATGCAACCAGTCTTCATGTGCAGCTCTAATACAGGAAGCTATGCTTCACACCTTATGCTGCATGCATTTGAGATATCATCTGCAGCTTTGTAATCTACCAATGTGGTATTGGGCCGCAATGTATATGCGTATATGCTCAAAAGCCAATCAGTGCCGACTGATCTGCATTTAAGGAAATGTGTGGGTTGACGCGGTGGATACAATAAATTTAAGATTCTTCAGGTGAACGCGCTTTACATGATGAGTGCAAGCGAATGGAATTCACATTTGGAAATTCGCCCCTGTACCATTACTGCCATGGCAACCAAAGTGAGGAGCTGACTTGGGAGGGAGGCTTGGATGTCAACATCAAGTCACTGTGATCTGAAAGATGTACACAGAACCACTGAGTATCGAGCAAAACTCTGGTTGGACACGTGCTTCGTGGGGATCGCACTGCGGCCACTTCATGGATGGCAAGTTTGACTGCTACGCACGCGGCTTATCCACCGCAAGTTATCTGGACGTTGTACCATGTGGGAAAAGTAAGGATGACAGTGAAACAGAAACGTGATGGAATGGCTGGACAGGGAGAACACTCTAAAACAGGAACCGAAACCGTGACAGAGAGGGATCACAATCACACAAGTGGAAGCAGATGTCACGTTGGAATTAAAGACTGTGAGTATCAATTTCTTTCATCTTTTTACAATGAACGAGCAGGATTTGGGTTTTTCTTTTACCTTACTAAAGATATCAGTGAAAGTTAGGTTATTGAAGTCATCTTCACTTAGTACATTTCCAAAGTTTAAGAAGTATCAGTCTAAACATTTGTCAATGACCAAAGTAGCCATTACTAATCAGTCACAATGTAGTCTGTGGGTGAGCACTTGCTCACACGCGGTATGTCTGGTCAGTGAAAATCTTACAATATCAAGCACCCTTAAATTCGAATGTTTACAAGAATAAGTGCGAGACATCAGCAGAAAGGCTCAAGAGAAACATGACTTGAAGGTGATACAGAAACGTGTCTAGGATGAGGGGCAGATTCCCTCTCTACCTCCTTCATATTTCTATGATTTCCCATTTGCCTGTGTCTATGTTCAGAGCTTGCAGGTTTTTCTTTAACAGTTATTGTGAGCTTCCATTATATAGCTAGACAGAAGCAACAGCTCTTCTCCCCCCACCCAAAAAAAAAGAACTGCCCGAGGTAAAAACCAAAAAACTGAAAGTTACTCAAGATTCATCTTGACGTTCAGACTAAGAGCAGGAAAATGGAATCCCTCAAAGGCGAGAAGAAAGGCGACACAGCTCGGCCTACATTACTCTGAATCTCGCTCTTGACAAAGGCATCCAAACCATGCCATCCACAGATCCAATTACCCGGGATGTCAGCACTTAAACAGGTGCAAAAAGGTTTTAATGTCGGGGATGATTCCACGATGTGTCACAAAATGTGACGTCGCTGGCTCACGTGACACCGGGGAGGCTAGGTGTTTACCGTTGCCATTATGGAAAGATGTGCACATAATTGAAATATCAAAGCGACTACCTGATGGGCTGTTGTAGGCCTGAAATGGAGTGGGGTGGGGAAGGACACTTTACAAAGGATAGAAAAGGCATAGGCATACAAAAGAGAAGCATGAGTGTTAGCTGAAAGACTTATTTTCTTTTTATCTCATGTAAGAGCAGAAATTACATGGAGAGTTTATATGAGTTATAATTCATTCCCTTTGTGTCACCCAACAAAGCCACCAAACTCAGACATAAACAACTCATTCTTTTCACTGAGGAAATAAGAAGCTTGTCCAATTTCTATGCAAATGGTACCACAAAATTAGGAGATGCCAAGCTCTGTAACCTAACAGAAGTTTCAAGACTGGTTTTGATTAAAGTTTTCAAATGCTCAATTCATCGTCCAATTTTCGATACTAATTTGACTCAGTAAACAACTTGAGGCTTTTTGTTTTCTTCAATTTTTGATGCAACACAGTTTGATGCAGTTTGATTCAATCCCTGTAGAGTATCTGCTAGTGTAAGTCCCCAAATGCTAACAACTGCAAATGTATCTTCATAGAGATTCACCTACGTATAAGATGCTCCCCCTCCACACACATACACAAATACACACAGACATTTAAGCACCTCATGTGGACAGTGTTATGTAGTCAGGAAAACTCAGTGAAATTAATCGTTTCTCTTGAACTGTGTTCACTATTTTAAGTTAGATTATACTGATGCCCAATGCCTCTAAACCTGTTTTTCAGAGAGGGAAAACCTAGTGTGGACCTGGCTTAAGCTGTGTTCCCGTTGGACTTTTTTTGGTTAACTTACCGTGACTTTCCTGTAGAATTACAAAAATTAAATCCAATGGGATCACAAGGTAAACTACCGTCCCTCTCAGCCGACCACAATTGTGATGTAAAACTAACAGGCCGAAAAGGGTTGCGGAAGATTTCCGCGCGGCCACAGTAAGTTAGCAGGGGAGCAAAAAAGCCCAATGGGAACAGGGAACTGCGACCACGCTAAACCTACGAACCAGACTACTGCCTACACTGAGATCGATAGCGGGCATGCAAAAAATGGACGTATTGTTCCCAGTCTCCAGCTCCGTGCATACAGTACAGCAGCATGCCGCATACACACAGTGAAGCATGCCCAGATAAAGCTATACACACATTGTGGGGGTTTTTCCTGTAAGGGTTTATCTTATTTGTGGCAGATTTGGCCGAATTCGTCTGATTTTGCCGATTTGGCATGATTTGTACAGCACAGGCAATGTAATCAGCTGGTCTTATTAGGCCTAACACAGCAAATAAACATTCTGTTACGGGTAAAAAAAGTCCATGTGGGAATGCGCGGTAGATTGACACAAAGGAATGTCGCGTTAAGTCTCCATGTGCCCAGGGAAGAAAAAGTCCAATGGAAACACGCCTTTTATCCACTCAAAGTTCACACACCCTGCATTATGTGGACCTGCTTGGTTCTCAGGCCCATACAAAGACAGCAAGGTTGGCACACACATCCCCGACTCTAAAAGAAAAGTTCAAAAAAAGTGCCCACGGCCAGAAATTGCGAGAAGCAAAGGGTAAACATTCAATAAGAGGGGGGTGACAAAGGCGTGAATATCAGCAGAGTCAACAACCTGGCACATGACTGTCCGATGACAGTAATGGTGGGAAATTCCGTTAGCTATGCAAACATGAATGTAGTCGCATTCAGCAAACAGCTGAAACCAACACCTAGCCAAGGCTTCAAGTATCCACTGGATCAACCTGTCTCACCAATTTTCCATAGCTCCCACACCAGTTTCTCCAGGCAAAAAGCACTTAATTATTAAAAGCTACTTGCAATGCATTCGAAAGCCTGTATGTCAGCAGCCAAGAAGTACCTTTTGAAGCTGATAGTTCTTCTCTTTTCTTGTTTCAAATTGTTTTGAAGCATGCTCCAGACAGACTCGGAGAAAGTGCTGTTTCTTTTCTTGTAACACCAGCACATCTTGAGATTCAAGACTTACTGTCTATAGAATAACCTTGAAAGTCCTGTCCCCCTGCCTTTTCCTTTTTCACTTGTGTGAAATCAAAATTTCCAGTGGATATTTCAAAATATGCCAACAAGAAGACAAAAATGTACCAATGAAAAATAGCTTTTTGACTTTTAAACCTCCTTGAACTTTAAATCTGCATGAAAGTTTTCATTCAAGAAAACAGGAAAATCTCCATGCTTCTGCTGAATTCATTTTCGTAACAAATCAATATTTCCATTCCAACATGCTAAAACGTACAAACACGAATTAAGGGTCACACAGTTGACCTCTGAAAGGTTATTTGTTACTTATTTGCTGATTTGGTCCTTTTTGTCTCAATCCCCCCCCCCATCTTTTGTAGATAGGGTTGGGCTTTGTCCAGGAAGCATCTTTGCAGAAGCTCCTCACTGAAAAGCTTTCATGATCTGATGTTTAAGTCTGTGCACCTCTTGGTTGCCATGTTCCCTAGAGCCTAAAGGTGTCACAACCATGCATTATAGATCACATCATGGATACCAGCCTATTCTATCAACACTCATAAGTGTTGATAGAATAGGCTGGTATCTCATGACCCAGCACTTCCATCTTTTGAGGTAATAAGCTCCCAGTGGAACATTGGATTTGATTGTTTTTGAGCATTTTGATGATTGGCTTGCAGGTGAGTTAATCCAAAAACAAAATTGCAAAGTAAAACAAAAAGCGTGTCTTCTCTGAAATCCCCTCAGTGTACAGTATATGCCCACTGCATTTCATTTAGCCCCTTTTACTGAATCTATAAACACTGCCTAAGGAGAGCAGGTGCATCCTTTGTCTTAATGACAATGACCACGACAACAGGTTAAATGATGCAAGGTCACAAGGGAAATAAATGGATTCTCACCCCAGAATGATCAAAGAATGGAAGAAATGAGATGGAAGAAACAACATAAAAGTGCTGGAAATGATGATAAAATGTTATGCTCACATGCGATACAGCTACAGCGCATTAATTGGGCATTTTAACAAGTAAGTATTTGAGCTAATGTGGAAGAGCAGAAAGAGAATGAGTACAGTGACTTTTGACAAAGTAATGGGGAATAAATGATGCTTCTGAGGTGCCAATTACGGGTACCGCTGCAAATTCAGTTGCCATTTAATAGCAAATGATTAAGAATTGATGATTAATTGATATATTTTTTTCTGAGACCCTTTGACATCACGTACCAGGTAAGCCCCTTGAGAATTCATGACTTTGGCTCCATCAATTTTCATTTGACTTTTCCAAGAACATACTCCTGGGCCAGACCACAAACCATGTGTTTGAACACATGTGCATGCATCTCAATTTGTCTCCTGAGTGATTCCACTGGTCCAGTCCTTTGAGGATGATGACTTGTGGAGGAGCAGTATGAAATATGATTTTAACCTCGGCCAGGGGTGAATAGCCAGCGCTAATATGTATCATTCAAATTTCATTTTCTTTCTGCCGTGATGGATAATATGTGATGAGAGCATGCCCGGCAAGCTCAAAGCCTGACTGTTTTGCTGTTGAGTCCATCATGGCTTCTTACAAGTCCCTGCATGCACACATCCATCATACAGTCTCACAACCAGGTCGCAATTTAGTCAGATTGTAATGGTGGCTCGAGCATTCCTTTGCCTCTGTTCTCCCCCGGCCGTACACACACTGACCGAACTCATGAATGGACTTGAGACAGACTTTTGGAGGGGCTTGATCAACCACAAGTGTCCAATTTGACCACAACCCTGCCAAGCATCCTTCAGCTTTAAATAGTCACATGTCCCGAACCGAAGCACTCACTTTGTGCATGGAGATTGACATAACTTGAGAAAAACCTTGGAAGTGAGTTCATTTGAATATCTATTCTCTTACAAAGGGAGTCAATACAAGAAAAGATATGTAAGATTCAGTGTACAATGCAAGCATCTACATGTAAATGCAAGCATAATAATATTTAATGATTGTTTAAATCCTTAAACTCTGGTTGTTTGTCTCAGTTGTCTTGTATTGTTTGGCACATTCACCGCATGATGCCTTCACAGTGTGGAAGAAAAATTACCAATATAATACATCTCAAATACGTGACCAAATTTTAAAAAAATGCGTTTACTGCCATGTACTTCCATCAATTACTTTTAACAGGCATTTGACTCAAAATCACGAAATCAGCCATGTCTAAATAACATGAGCCTATGACAAAAAAAGACCGGTTTGCTCTCCCAAAAAAGGGCTCTTACGTGGCAAACTAGCCTGCAGGCTGACAGGTCCAGGAAAGGAAATCAGCTACCCCCACTTGAGCATTCTGATGTAAACCCTGCTATTCAGGAGTTTTCCCATTGGTGAATCCACTCCTGCCAGAGCACAGGAAATTGAGTATTTCTATCACGTTTCCAGTGCTCAGCATGACAGCACGTTGCACCAAACAATGCCCAAAAACTGCACTGCGCACCAAGTATGCAATCTGCTAGTACAAGAAAAGGTGTCACTTTGGGGTGCTGCTAAGTGTAAATCTAGGTGGTAATATACATTGCCCAAAATATACTCATCTGTGGATTCTGTGCTAATGCTACAGACATTGCAAATAGGCATGGTATGCTTGTCATTGACACTGTTTTCGCCTCTACACTCGCAAGCTTAAGAATATTTATTTCAAATGTGCTCAAATGCTTTCTTTGAAATGAGACTGTCAAAAACCGGTCTTGAACTTCACTTCCAACCAGACAACATACATACACCCTGTATTTATAACAAAATGACTCATACAAGTTAAGCTATGGTATTAATGACATCATTTCTATTCAGTGTGTGGGTTGGATGCAAAGTACCGGTATGCACAAGATCAGTGTTGTTGGTGCCCAAGCATCTTATAATAATGCGCTCAATAGCCCGTGTATTAAATGTACATGTACATATTGAGAGTAGCGCAGGACTAGTGTGAGTTTATGTCTAGAGTGTGCCATGGTGCAAAAGCAGTCCTAGTCTAAAATATTATTGTTGGGGAGTCTGGTTTTGGACAGTTTGCAGTGCTGTGATGATCGCTCCAGGTGCGTGCCCACTGTGAACCTTCCGCTGCAACCGCTGTGGGTGTGCTTGCGAGAAATAACAGGTACGGGTCTAACAAGTTGAGCAGATAATTATGTAGATAAATCAGTGCTTATGGTGAATTTAATAACACCTAACCCATAGATTCTGTATCCTAATTGGTCTAGAGACAGTCTCAACCAAACCATGCATTCCAAAATCCTAGCGCTACAGAGCTGTGTTCAAATATTTTGAGAAAAGGTAGTTTGGAAAAGTGTGAATAATCTTTGAACAAATTTCTTTTATTCAAATGACGTACCTTTTATACGAAAATGAAAATGTCACAGTCACACTTCCACATGGATTAATCTACATTCGGGACCAACCCTACAAAAACATCATCTGACACACTAGTATACTACATAAGTTTCTCCTACTAGAAATAGTATTAAAAACATTTGATACAATAACTTCACCAACTTGTTTTGAAATGAGTTTTCCTCTTTCACATGTGGACAAGAGAGGGCGCTATGGCAACTACATGTACAAGCAATCATGCACTAGGCATGATGCACTCTTAATGTATGCAAGTGTATATGTGTATGCCTAAAACCTGGCATTCAATAATCCTTTTCAATGTGGATGACGAACATTAAAAGCAACACATTTTGTGCACAACATTAATCTGTTTCATTTTATTATACACTCCAATTCAAACCATGCTGTTTTTACACAGCATTGCAGATTTGGGGTAAAGATATTTATAAACCTTAAATTGTAAAGCTAGTCCCCAGAAAAATTCCTTCCCAAAACACCAGTTTTGTCTTGGATTGAGATTATGTATATACAAAAAACCACCTAGTACTGGCCAATGAGAATCAGGATTTGAAGTTCATTCATCCAACATTGACCAATCATGTTCATTTTTCCGCCTAAAGAAACTGGTGCCCATTTAAAGACAATTAAGAATTTTTTTCTTCTTTCAAAGTTTGAAAGTTTATTCATTTGCAAAATATTTCTTTGTACTACGTGTTTCTCTGTGACTTGATAAACAGACCCTTGAGAAGTATTCTCAAGAAAATTATATTTATTTCTGACTGGTTTACTCCCCCCCACAGGTTTATGTATAAAATGTATCGCTTTTTTGTCATCCAAACCCCAAGAAAAACATTTTAAAAAAAAAAAATTTAAATGTGTGCTTCAACGCGCGAGTTATAGGTAACTGTAATGCCAAGCAAAAGATATTCAGAATAAGGAGAGAATAGCTATGGTCATACATGTATAAAGAATTAAATTCAAAATTCAGCTGACCACAATGTGTGACTTGAATCAAGATATAAACAATTCGCTCTTGGAATTAAGTCTCAAACCCTATTAAAAAATTTAAATAATCTACTTGCTTATAATCATCAGTCAATGGAGGGTTGAAAGAGAACAACTGTTTTGGTATCATGGTCAACTCTTTTCAGGTTTAGTTTTGCTGCTTTACACGTCCCTTCCTGTGAAAACAAACTCTTTTGCAATGTAAGTACTCCAATTTTACCATTAGTTCAGTTTCCATCTGAACTTCCTTTTCAGTGCTTAAACAGCTTCCTTTCACCAAAAAAAAGCAGAAAAAGCCAACTGTCTTTCTGGTCTCTTTCACATTTTCCCAGGATACAAATAAATACATAATTCATTTCACACTGTGTGTGTGTTTTGAGGCATTGTTCTGTAAAGGAAAGCTGCACAGGGTTATAATCAAGATTTGTGATTAACCAAGGGAAGACAATCACCGACCAGCGCTACAGCCATATCCAGCAGGGAAAAGCCCACAGAAAAGAAGGGAGATATTCTAAGAGAGGGTTGATCGGCTAAACGGCAGTTGTTGATAGACAGCCCCTGCATGGAGGCATACATCAACACCTCGCAAGTGCAATCCAATTGTCCCATAAGCTCCTCACAGCAAATTATGTCTGGTGCCTGGACTCGCAGGGCGAGACGTGAAAGTCATTTGAATACTCAGAGCTTCAATGTCTTGTCAAAATGTACTTGGACAAATTCCCTGCTCAAGAAAAAAATCAAAGGATTGTGTAATTTGCATTGAGTAGCTCAAGCATGCTACATGATTCATATTAATGAGTGGAATAACAAGCCATTTTCACAACATCCCTCCCATTTGAATAAAGAAATCATCCTAGTTTGCCAGTGGGAAGGATATTTACACTTAATTTCTAATACAATCAAATATTTGTGAAATAACGACAGAAATTTAACGCAATGAAGTATTTGTTAAATAAGGTATCTTTTAAAATGCAGCTCTTCCAGTCAACAAAGACACCCTGACAGAAAGTTTCCTTCACCTGACACCTTGGTTTTGGGCACAAGACAATTCAGTGAATTAAGTATTGCACACTGAGTAAGGTTTTTTCATTTTTTGAAAATTGTTCTTCGGAACACAAATGTTCAACAGCAATACCTCTCTTTCCTTTGTCCAAAGTGAAGTTTAATTTTCTAATTTAACACATAAATGCACTTCATTCCTGTAGTAAAGCTGCATATACCCATAGGTCAAAGTTCTATTTTTCTCCAAGCAGAAATGCTGAATGAAGTTCCTTCAGGTATAAAGGAGTGGCATTTTTTCAGATAAACTCTGTGACAGGCTGCAGAAAAAAAAAACTACTGGTGGCTGGGGGGAAGATAATGCAATGATCAAGTTTAAGTCAAGGCAGGCAGAATTGAAATGATAATAGGATCGTCCCTTCTGCAAGGAATTTCATTAAACAATCTCTACAGAATCATCAATCCGAGTTGATCCTATAACGACACTGACACTAACAGAGAGTTGGGCACAGGCAGCGAAGGAAATTTCGGTCAGGTCATTCCTCTTTTCCAATCTGAATTTGTTTTTCTTTTCTGTTTTTTTTTTTCCAAGAGAAAACTGAACACAGCACGGGAACATCTTGGTTCAAAGAATTTATAAAATGACGCTACTTTTGGCAAAGGGTCATTATTTATCCGCTTGTGGTTTCAACACACTGTGGCCATGTGTATACATGCAAGTGCACTTGTAAGCATACACACTGTATTTGTACTTCTGAAGAGAAATAGCCAATGAATTTAGAATACCGTGCTAGACATATGTAAAAATCATCAGATTCTTATTGCAGGAGATCTTTTGTCCTCAAACATGAATGTAAAACAGGTGCAAAATGCAATCATCGTGGCCACAGCCAAGATGTCTGGAAGCATCAGATGAGCAAGGGAAACCAACACAGGCATTACTTCCTGGTGACTCTCATTTCAGAGACCCCAGTCCAAGTCATAATTCACACTGACAGAGAGAATTTTCCCCTCACCACGGCTGCTGACCAAAAGGGAGAGGCAAAGAGAAGGGGAGAAGATAAAAAATACACAGTTATTTATTTATATTTCTAGCAGGAATAAAGAGCGTGGACCACGAGAGAGACGGAGGAGTGTACATCCAGGCAGCCAACATCGTCGTTTCCTACTCCTTTCCACTCTCCCCCCCCCAACCCTCCAGGCAGGAATCACAAATGTACAGGGAGAGGTTAGGGAGGTAGAGGACATTTTCCTGCCGACGTAAGCGCAGATACCATGGCGACACAAGATTCCTTGAGATTCAGGGAATGCTGCAGCTCATGGCCGACATCAGGCATCATCTCATCCGTCTATCCGTCTTCACTCAAATTGTGTCAGGGACACTTTGCTTAGGTGATCAAGGTCTTTTTTTTTTTTTGGAGAGGATAGCGTAACAATAACAAGCTCGTCAGTTGAACTCATTATGTACCAGTGCGTTCTTCTGGACTGACATTTAACTTGAAAATTAGTTGCTTTTATTCTCTTAAATAGCTCTTTCTAGACACTGAACAAGATAGTTTAATGCTCCGGATGTTTTCCTAAACTAATGCATAATGGTTAAAATAAAAAGTAGCAAGTAATTTTATGTTGTCAGTAGTCAGTTGTCAGAAATGGCGAATTGATACAAATACACAGATACAAATCTGTGACTGTCTCTCCTCATCTGGATAAATTTTGGGCTGACAAAGCAAAATGATAGAATAAGGCACTCCTTTTTACCGCTTTAGATGCAGATATGCAACAATTTTGTCACAATTCAACTAATTAAGGTACCAACAGAACACCATATTGTGGCTGTCGTGCAAGATTTCTATTTTATACTTTATGACTAGACTTGCCACAAACAAGGTACCATTATATCAGCTGTATGACACCACTTTAAGTAAGGTTATGACATTATTGAATGGATGTAATTATTTCCTCTGAATAATTTTTCAAATTTTAATAATCTTGACGATGGGAGAGGATTCTGATGTACCACTGACAAACTAAAGATGAGCTCATCAAAAACATGTCTGGTACAATGCCCCCCCCCAAAAAAAATTAAAGACAACAAGGGGAGTAGACTTGTCTTCAATGAAAGAATCTTTTAAAAGATTCACAGTTTTTGATGGAGGCGAGAGCCTCAGGATTAATGAATAAAAGCCTGAGGGAGGGGGAGGGGTAACGTGACGATGCGAGGGAAATTAAAAGCTGATGTAGCCTTCACAAGCCAAAGCATTATGCATATGAAATGGCGGGCTGGGCCCACGGACAAGTTAATGAAGTCACTCAAGAGATAGAGACGCCTGCAAACGCTCGGCTGGCAAAGGGGGTGCTCACTGAACCATGCCATCCAAGCCTTTAATAACTAACCATCGTGACAGGGTGTTGATCTCGGGGGCAGCCGAGTGTGAATGCCAACCAGGTTGCCGGGATGGGGACGAATTGAAGGACTCCAAAGTTGTGTCGAACAAAAATATATGCAAAATTGGCTCAATTCGCAGCCATGCTTGATTACAATCAAACATTAAATGAAACATTACTTAGAAGCTGCAGAATGGTTTCAGTCTCTTGCTAGTCACTTCTAGTGGCTATCATTAATCAATAAAGTGTAGCCACAATGAATTTTTCTAAGACATCATTTTTCTGCAACTTTGTACTCTTCCTCAGTGTGTGAAAACTTTCACATTCCTATTTGGTTAAACGAACTGAAAAGTGTACTTTTTAAAACTTAGAATTATCCATGCTCTCCTGGACAAATGAGGGCGCCGTAGCTGTGATGTCATCCAGGGAAGACATAGTTAATTGCATACATTTTTCTTTAAAATTGTGAACCCAGAATTTACTTACTTAAAGCATTTCTGAGAAAGGTACAGGCGCTCACTTATTGCACATAAACAATGAATCAGCATAGAAGAGAAAATGAAGTCCAGCAAAAATCTACCAAAATGTACGACTTTTTTGAGTACAAACCAATGTAATATTTACGCTTTCTTCCTGGGATGACCTAAGGATAAATCCCTGCATCATAATTTTATGTTTAAACTACAAGGAACACAAGTTCACCAAATTTTCTGGACTTACCGGTATTAGTAATTTCTTCAGAATGTTTAGAAGAAAATTTGGCTCAGTCGCAACTAATCCCTAAGAAACTGTTGTTTATTGTTTAAGTTCTGATTGCTTTACGTTGACTAGTAATCAATGTTATACATGAATGCCAACATCAGGTGCCAAAGGCAAGTCCTTTTAACTTTATAAAATAAAATCAATTAACACCTCAAACATTAAGTGAACATTTATTATTAAATAGTTACACACACATGCATTTAAAAGATTTTAAAAACTCTTAATTTCTCTCTTTTTTCAGAACATGGGACGGCCTTGATCCAACTGAAGGATTCCAGTGGAAAAACAATGTTAAATCTGCAGTCAACTGCAACATGTACACCAATATTGCCTTGACCATACTTCTCATAAATGACACAGGCAGAAATACAATCCTTCGTCCTCTGTAAATGAGATTTCAAAACAATAACTTGTGTTGAGAAAGTTAGTGGTACATTTTTATGTCAGCTCACTTGATAGAGTGGGTCAATGAGTATAAGGAAAGCATACAGATATTTGTCTCTGATAAGCACGATGTCGGGAAAACCTCTTTCAACTGGACGTTCAAACAGTGGGGCCATCCAGTAGCCATCCCCACAACAGAACCAATATCTTAGGGAGTAACCAACTCCTTGAATATCAAGTAATGCTAGGTTTGACAAAGAAGATGAGATGAAAATGCCAAGAACATTTTATTACCCCATACCCTTCTCTGATTTAAAAGTGCCACACGAGCAAAACGAGGTACTGCCTCACAAGTTTAAATAAGAACCTTATTCATAAAATCCCACCAACAGTGCAATGACCTTTCAAATGACAAGTTCCTGACTGGCAAAGCCAGCAAAGTGCAATTTCTCCAATAATCTCTCAAGATCACATTCTAGAAACGTCACAAACTACTACTGTCACACCAGGCAATAAATGGGATTCATCCTCGACCAGGCCCGATCCATAGGGTGCCAAGGGTAGGCGGATTCAAGTTTTCTCTTTGGAATTTGGGAAGGTCCACCCCAGGGAAAATAACAATCAGAGGATCTTACCACAGAAACACACGGCTGCGCTGGGACAGGTACTGTAGCTTCCGACAGTGTTGACCCTGAAACTCGGACATGGCTCTTCCATGACCCAGTGGCCAGATACTGACTTGGGTCAAGTGCGACTGAAGTCATATCCAACAATGTAGCCTCAGCAATAACCTGACAAGGACAGCTTATCTTAAAGGCACACTTCCGCGGCAGGGTTCATATTAACATCTCTGAAGTTTTGCCTTTCCTGTTGCAAAGTCTGAATTAGGCCTACATGTAATTTAAACTTATTTATTCGTGGTTTTTATAGAGAGAGATACCAGTATGCATTAATTCAATGGCTACTGGGCATTTTCTCCATCAAAAAAGAAGTCACAAAAAGGTTAAATAAAACACGCACTGGTTGTTTGTTTTTTGTTTGTTGGGGGTGTCAGGGTATTTGTTTACTTCTTACTTTGAGCGAAGGAAGCAGCCTGTGCTTCGACATGTTTCCTTTTGTTTCCATTATCTCTCTCATTTCATTTCATTTTCTTTCCCCTTTTTTTCTTTTTCTAATCGAGACAGAAAAGAGAATGAGACAGCTTTAAGCAGAACTTCCTGTTGGAGGAATGGTTTCAATCAAGGGCCAGCTTCCTGTAAGTATCGCCTCTATCAAGGCCCCTAGGGATTAGGACAGGGGGGGGACTCAGGGTGAAGGATCTCACAAGGTAATGAGATAAACCACAGCAACACAAAGGCACTTCCGGACCAGACGCACCAGCAGATAAAAACACTGGGGCAGACACACAGCTGTTCAATAGAAGCCAAAAACTGCACAGGCGCAAAGGGCGTGTGGTGGTCTTCAGACATTACTGGGCACAAAATTTACAATTTCCATCCAACATTGAGAGGACTGTGGACACATTTCCTCTGTGACAAGTGATAGCAACTGTGATTTGTCAGTGCTGTGTCTTTTGAGGAAAGATTCACAAGGTTTTCTTGCAAAGCAAAGACCTCTAAGGAAAGAGCTGAATCATCTTGACAGTTGCTTTTAGTTTTGCCGTTCATCTGGAATGAGTCACAGTGAACATCTAAGGGTACAAACCTTTTCTTGTACTGCACGCCTAGAAGTTCACTTTCTGACATTTTTCTTGCTTTAACAAAGCACTTCAAGGTGTGTGGTGGAGATACCTGCTGGAACATACAGCAGTCAGCATTCCCAGGTGAGCCACTGCCTCTTGCAGCTTGAGAGTGTTCCGTGATATTCAACCAGTAGCCAACCTCCTTCATCCTCACTTCATCATGCAGAGAGCAATGCTGTTTGCCCTATGCCTACTGACCATATTGGGTGTGGCCAGCCTGAGCTATGCCGAGTGCCCCGCCTACTGGACTCGTTTCCGCCGTCACTGCTACCGATTCTTCGGTGCCCACAAGACCTGGTCGGAGGCCGAGGGCCACTGCAACAGCTTCAGCTCCAACGGCCACTCTGACGAGGAGGCCATCGCTCACCTGGTGTCCATCAACAGCCAGGCCGAGAACGACTTCATCTACACCCTCTGGGCCTCCTCCCGGGAGACGGCGGGCAATGCCTCCCAGCTTTGGCTGGGCTTCTACAAGCCCAACGGCCGCAACTACTTCACCTGGTCCGACAGCAGGGACATCGACTTCACCTTCTGGGACATCCAGAGACCCAACAATGTCGGGGGTAACGAGGACTGCGTGGAGATGTGGGAGGAGGAGATTGAGAACCATCGTCTCAAGTCCTGGAATGACAGACCGTGTCTGAACAGAGCCAGTTACATATGCAAGATGCAGTTGGATTAAAGACCTGCTTCATCGAGCAGGAAACACTGCAAATACTCCATTGCCTGAATCAGGGGAGCTTAAAAATATTACTGACTGTAAATACATCAAGTAAGTTTAAGTGCTTGCTGAATGAATTGTACCTTATTAATAAGCAAGCCTTTCATAACTAACTGAAATTGCATGGGTTTTGAAATAGTATTTTTGAAATGCATTCATTCATGCTTGTAAATACAAACATCAAAAAAAATGTCAAAGAGCTGGAAAGAACAAAGTCAGAAACGTAGAAATGTAGAGTTTCAAATAATCTAACAAGGAAATAAGGAATGTAAATATCTTTGATTGGCATTTTAATTGCCTGGAAGAAGTTGTAGGGGTTCAACTGAGAACTTTTATCATTCTTTTCTGTAGATCTGATTGGATGGTAAAAATTCTCAAGTTACAAATTTCTTTCAGTCATGAGAAAAGAACTCTGAAGTGATTCAAGTGTCTCTTATGGGTGTTAGTTCTGATGCCTCATTCTCTTATATCATTCACACGTACAAACTGCATCCAGTGTGTGAACACAGCATATATAACTGTATTCACTAAGGTGATGTCCCTGCCTACACTATAAGATTGGTTCACACTTCAAAGTTTTGCGTGAAGCAAATTTGTCGAGGTGACAGTGCCCATCAAAATTAAGCTACAATTTTTGGACGTCATGAAATTCACTGTGCTTTCGCCTGAAGTACATGAATCAAATCACCATCTGTTCTCCGCTCTTCATGCTGATACATGTCAGCTGATGATGGGCCAATACGGACTGGCATGGAGAAACAACTAAAAACCGTTGACCTTTCCAACAAATTTTTCCCATCCAGTCATGCTTGTGATCGTGACAAAAAAATTGTAAGCAGAGCAATACATCCTTCTAAATCGTTGGATCTTTTCTCTAGATTTCTTTGACTTATGAAGGTATCAAACTGCAGTTACAGAAACCGACTGTTCTACAGTTTCATAGAAGTAAATCTATAGGATTCAGAATAAATATTAAGCAAAGTTACGCTGAAATAATGACACCTCCTGCCTCAGCATGTAAACACACAAAATAGCTTTGTCATAAATTATACGGTAGCTATTCATACTACTATACTCCAGGAATAATTCATGTTGAGCAGTTCTGACAAGGCACATAAATAATACTCAATAAAAATGACTAGATCATAGCTAAGCCAGAAGCCCTGAAAGCTTTATGAAGCTTGGTTTGTTTGTTTTTTACATTGTCACATTGTTGGCGTATTAGCAAGAAACTAAGTAAATAGGTACTTCTGTAATTTACAACTTGTCATATCAAAACTAAATATTTCACAATTTTTTTTTTCTGATGACTATAGCATATATTTTTTTCTCCTTTTTATGCATGTAAATTGATGAAACGTGCATTAGTGACCAAAAAAAAAATGGTTGGAAACTGTGAACGCATTGGGTAGAAGACAAACAGATCAATGTTTATGTGTCACATTGTTAGCAAAGGGCCATGCAACATAATTTTTTTGATACAGTTGTCATACATTTATGTGTCTTTGTACCCCATTTAACCTGATTTACAGTACAATCTTTGCTGTACCATATTATGGGCAGATTGGTGCCTTTTTGGTTTTATGCTGATTTATGTAATTTGCATATTCATCTAAGGCGGCAAACTGAATGATCCAGCTACTTCTGCACTAAAACTGGCCAGAATTGTGGATGTCTTGTTCTTAAGTTTGTTTATTTTGGTGGTTTATTGTTCAAGATCAGTAAGCCAGCGAGCAAAGTTTCCTGATAAAGAGTTTCAGTGAGTAACTTCTGGGATAACAATCTGAACAGCGCACCCTTCCCTCAAGTAGTTCTGTTATGACATCACAGAAACAACGCCCTCATTTGTTCAGGAAAAGCATGACAAATTCTAAGTGTTTCAATGAGGGTAACCAATAAAGGGATATCAAATAATTCCCTTACACCCCTTGTGGAACAGCAAGGAGCAAGCAGCCCAAATCATGACCCCAAGTAAAATCCACATCACAGATCCTTTAATACCATGGCAACCACTGAACTGATCCTCACAAACCATCTCACATGGACTCATGCTCGAGGTTTCAATCATCTCTAATCACCAATCCATAACTGATATTGAATTTCTGATGGCACTCTAGCTCCCAACTGCTTGCATCATGCGCCACTTCTCTGTCACAAATAGTGTTGTCACATCCACTGAAAAACAGCTTAACTAACTGCAATGTCAGGTCAACAGAGGGTGCCATTCAGAAATGACCCGAATATTCTTCTAGTTCAACCATAGAAAGGGTTCAATCTATTTAGCCACACTCTTCAATTTGGATTTTGTATTAGTTCTGCAAATGCACAATTCCAGCCACATTTTTCTGTCCTTTAGCTTTTTCAGAGATGTTACTTGTGACTGCTTCATTAAATAAACTAAGACAAATTTAGGCAAGTGATCACTACGCAAGCCACAGGACATAATAACTAACCCGTGGATGTCTTTTCTCAACATCAGCTAATGTAATGGTTTCACCATTTACAAGAGCTCTGTCTGATGTACGATGACTTTGCAGTCTAGTGCATGTACAGCAACATGTGCAAAGACAATAAGAAATTGTCTCTGGAAAAAAGAAAACACTCAAGAAATTGGAAATAAATATTCGTAAAAAAGGATGTGAAAACTAAGCTTCATCTTACAATTGATGAATACTTGCTGGTATTGGGCAATGCGAATGCAACCTTCACTGAACTTTCACTGATCAACTCACAGCAATTTTGACAACACATTTTGAAGATATTCCCATTATTCAAACTTGAGCTGTTTGCAAGCAACAGTTAAGCCTCACCACCAAGTACATAAGGACATGTAACACCTGCAAGAACTCAATTGAATTACTGTGACATTTGACATTCACAACGGGTGAGGTAGCCATGCACTGAATGAATCACGTCACTCAACATATGATTTACATTTTACTGGTTCATGTGCTATCCCATCGGTAGAGCATCATCAGCATGCCCTTATATAACTTTTGGGGGGACATGTCAAGTATGAATTGGCTGCAGGAGTTATGAAGCAAACTTGTAAAAGAATGGTTGCAGACACTAGTAAGTGCTTTCAATGTGCACACGCTATTTCAGCAACAATCACAAAGGACCCTTATTTACAAAATAAGCAGGAGCTCCAGACTTTTAATGGAATCTTGCACAATGCATATCAATGGAAATCATAAATGTTTGCTCTGATAATCTCCATACTGTGTCAAGGTTCCAACAGAAATCTGAAAACCAAATTCTGACACTTTCAGGACTTTCCAGGACTAAAACTATGTCAATTTCCACAACATTTCACACCACTTTGCAGAGAACAGTTGTTTGGTATTATATGAACTTGAAGACTGCCATAACCATCAGTTTCCACATTACTTCCTGAACTTCATTGGCTTCCTGTCCTGAAAAGAATCTTATTCAAGATGGCTCTTCTCGTCTTCAACTGTCTTCATCGCACAGCTCCTCGATACTGTCAAGACCTCATACACCTCAACGTATCCCGACCTGGTCTTCGATCCAATTATGACACCACGCTCCTCTCAGTCCCAAGATCTAGAAAAACCTCCATGGATAAAGCCTTCATAATTGCTGGTCCAAATCTTAGGAACACAATACCATCAAACATTAGATCACAGGACACAATATTATCATTCAGGAAACATTTAAAACACATCTTTTTCCAGTATAGTTTCATTATCATGTGTTGCGCAGCGCCACGATCTAGAGGGAATGGCGCTATATAAATCTTGCTATTATTATTATTATTACTATAGACTGACCAGGATAGCCACTAAGTTCGTAAGTATTCCATTTTCACATCAAAAGCAGCCCATCCACAATAATACTTGCATCATCTTCATTTCCATGACATTTTTCCCTCTGACAACAGGATTTCAGGACCCTCTATTTTTCCCCAATTTTCAATGATTTTCTGGGAAAACTTTCTTCCCAGGATATTCCATGGGAACCCTGTGAGTGATCCAACACAACTAAGCTCAGTCTGCTCTTACTAATGCAAATTAAACCAAATGACTGAAAAAAAAATGTGGCCATGAGACTCATTTCGTGATCCAGTTGTATGCTGTGGAGATATTTTTGGCTGTACATATACATGCCTTGAAGATAACTCTTCCCTTAGGTCTACATCACCAAGCTGTCAAGTACAGGTACAAATAAACACGCAACAAAGCACATGCACGAACGCATAAAAACATTTAAAATGAAGTTAGCTCATACCAAGGTGGTCATAGCCAATTTCCCAAAGGACTGTTCAGACTGTTCCAAGCTGCCGCCACTGAGGCACCAATAACACATTATACCTGATTATTTAAACCAGTAATACCTCCCTGGCCCAGGCAAGTGCATCCAAACTGCTGGCTGCACTAGGCAATCTATCAACCAGACAAGGTCTGGGTTAAATTAACAAAGTTGTAATTGAATTCATCACAAGTCCCTGAAAGCCCATCACTCGTCACTCATGCACGAGTGATCCAGTCATAAGTCAAGTCACAAGCTATTCACATGAACTGTCGTGAAAGCATTCCCTTGTCACTGTTCCCGTTTGAAGGGTCATGCAAAAGGACTTACGAAGAGATACATGCCGAGGCCTTGTGATGGACTCGACGACAAAAACTGCACACTAACTACACTATATGGATGACAATGATCTTGGAGGTGTGTCTCTGCCAACAGTCCCACTGAATTTCACATTATTCAACAGCTGTAAATAATTCAAGGAAGCTTGAAAAGGTTTCATCGTTAATTCCTGGGTCCAAAAATTCTACAGAAAAAGATCTGTTGGATCTGATTGGGGTGAATATGCACACCCCTAGCACCCAAGAACGGAGGGAAGGGTGAGAGAGTTTGACTTACCGGAATGGAGAATGCCTCCGCCAGGTACTTGAGAATGGCAGCTTGCTTAGACAAGAGGTTGGTTCTTTCTATGAGATTGCCCCGGAGGCTGCTGTCAAACTCCTTGCGGACAAGAGATGCCACCGAATCCAAAACAATTAGCCGGATGCCTTTGGTGATGAGGTCCTCCTCAAGATTCTGCAGTCTGAAATGGCAAAACAAAACATTGCATTATTATTAGGATTATTTGGGCCTGAAAGTCTGTGCCACAGTACATCCACTTCTCAAAATCATAGTTTACACGTTAGCCCCAACAGAATTGGCTAGAGGATTCTCGGCGTAAGTTTTGAAATTGGGTCTCCATTATGAACATGTTTCCTTCAGGAATCAGTTCCCCTCAGTAGGATTCTGTGCACTGCTATTAGATAAACACCAGCCTTGGCCCTATGCAGGTGTATCCACTCTGTGCACAAGTAAGAGATGGAGTTCTTGTACAGAGTGACAGTGGTCCTTGGTGTGCGCATAGATTTATACACGTTTGGCGTGAGACACACTGAGCATACATAACCAATTTCTGCTGAATCAGGCACTTAAATCATGACAACAATTCCCACGATACTGTCTCTTCACTGTTTTTCTGGTTTTCTGAGTCCAAGTGGATAATGTTTCCCTGCCAATGAGCCAGTTCAGTATTTAAAAAAGCAAGGTTGTTCCAGAACAAAGCACCTGACATCACAACAGAGTGAACCTGTTTGGTGCGTGTGACTCAGTGTACAGCTGTAATGATAGCACCCTTAGGTATCAAATTGTGATACCTATGATAGGGCAGAAGTCCTATCTGATGTACTTACTTTATTTCAAACATGTACTGTTGAAATACCAACCTGACTCACTGTGTTCATGCTTAATCTAACAATATGCAAGTCTGGACCAAGCAAGACTTGTCCTTGCAGAGTGTTGAAACAAATACTCCATCAATTTTATACCAGACTATTCGAAGAAAAGTGGGTACTAACTTTCAGCTCTCTAAGATCTGTCAGGTCCATTCATCCATTTACCATACATCTAAAATATTGTTTGAAAACAAGGGTTGAAGCCCGTCTGGACTGAAAAACAGCAAGTCCATTGTAAATCAAAACAACCCTCAGGCAAAAAAATGCATCAAACCTGGCTCCTTACAAGATGTCGTGATGAAGGTTGTGTTTGATTAGCCCTTACCTTGCCAGGAGGCTGCAACACGTGGATTCCTGGTAAACATGAATCCTGCTGGTCAAGGCAATATACGCCTCATCGCAGCTGAAGTGAACAGGGAAGCGGCATCGGGCTACTTCAACTAGTCTGCAGGTGGGTGGAACATTCAAATGCAACACAGGGCATTGATAAATCAGCATTTGAAGTTTGGGGTCCGGCAAGATTTGCTGCATAGTGTCCATGTTGGCAATATTAGAAAGAAAGGTGTTAAAAATCCTCCAATGCATGACTTTCTGATGTTTGCATTTGATGATGTATCTTCCAAAAGAACTAACTGCTGGGACCAAATCAACTTAAATCAGAAATACAAATCAGAATTTGACTTGTTTCAACATGTTGACTGCTGACTACGAGTATACTCAGAGTAACAGGTGTACCAAATTCTGCCACTGTGAGTATACTCATTGGAAATGAAAGGCTTTTGCAATGTAAATTGAATACGCTGGCATCACCAAGAACACCACAAATACGCTGCTAGCAGTGGTGAGGGCATAGTTCTGGACAACTGAAAAGTACCAATTAAAGAGCACCTCTAAGGAAATGATGTTTTCCCTGATCTTATCTGTTCAAATAAATATGGAAGCATCCAAATTGAATGCAGTGTAATTTGTCTTCAGAGCTCAACTATTACAAGCTTAAAAGGGTTTTTTTTCCTGTTCATGCCAAGATGCAAATTCTGAATGCAGATTGCGTCATTCAGAGAAAACAGAGAAAACGAGGGGAACCCTCGCCCTGTGTTCGTAGTGGATAAACCCTTGTGCATGCCAAACAATGGCTACATGCATTATTTGGCATACACAGTGTTTATCCACATCGAACACAGGGCGAGGGTTCCCCCCCGTTTTCTCAGAATGACACAGTCTACATGATGGAATTAGTTGTTAAGCACCCTTTTTAGATTTTGAGCAATTTTGTTACCTCAAATTAATATAACGCACATAAGATTGACTATACCTTAAACATGGACTGTACCTTTAACTGAAAAATATGACAGAGATCCTTGGGTGGTTGCATTACATGAATGCAAACCAAGAGGCATGGTGTTGCAAATAACTTCATCCTATCAGATGCAGGCTAGAGGTTGCCTTTGAAAGTTACTGGACTAACCTCTCTGCTGAAAATGCCGACTCTGTGTCAATGTAGGCCACTGCCCCGTCCAGGCCACCCATGGCTGCCGGCAGGGTGGCCAACACGCTGAGCATGATACAGAACTGAGTCTTGCCACATCCTGGAGGTCCTGCAATCTAAGAAGTGAGACTGAACCTTATAATCAGGCCACCCCAGCTGAAGGAGAGATGCTTACCGTAAAAAGGCCCACTGCTAGCTGCTAGTTAAACATACCGTCCACTTAGAAACAGTGCCCACACAGGAAACACCCACAAGTGTTTTGCATATTCCATGCAGATATTCCCCGACTCCCCCGTGATACAAAAAATACATTTTTCTTCCACTGTAAACATTCATTAAAACCGGAATTTCAATGACAACTGTCGTTTGCATTCTTCCTCATTTTCCAGCAGATAACTCTGATCTTCACGCCTCTAAAACTGTCTGTCCACAGAACATCCTGGAATCATACACTGTGTATGCCTCTTCTGTTTTCAGGTCCACACAAGGCATGTAAAGCAATCTCAAATGCAACGTAGGGTCAGTGACAATAATATTTGAGCCTTTCAAAAAGAGACTTGTGCTGTCTGGGAACGCTTAAAATATAAGCGTGCTTGGAAAATTTTACTGAAAACATCGCCCCCTGAAATAGACACGAAGGCATTTATTTTGACAGTGATACCTGGCAAATTCTCCGTAAATAGCTTGTGCTACTAGGAACTTGATAGCCCTCCCAGCATTCCTTATAACAAAGTCCATAAGATATTTCCTTGATGAAATTTGAAAATTCCAGGATGATGACTTCCTGGTGGCAGAGAAAGAGGAATTTCCACACTAAAAAGCCACATGCTCCCGCACCGTAGTTGTGGGGATATACACTTGACATTTCACCTATTTTGTGGGGACCGAAAACGCTGTGGGACTCAGAAATGTCCCCACAACTCGGTTCAAATTTCCCTAACAAAAGAACTTGCCCCCTGAACGCGGTGAATGCCTGCCCACCAAAGCCAATTATCCAGTGAATGGACATGCTGTTTGGACTTGAGACAACATGAATCAGTCTAGAATGAGTTAATTCCAAGTACATGCTTGCATACATAGTAGCCTTTGGGAAAGACTTTAATATGCCCATAGCATGGCAAATTCAAACCAAAAAGGACCATCACAACATGACGGTAACAATGATGCACAGTTAACAAAATTCATAACCTTATCAGAACATGTCTTGGTTGTGTTTCCTAACGTGTGTATTTGGCCACTTCATGTTTTCCTCCTTTCATTAGGGAAACCCTACAAGCCTTTAATAGTGGAAACTCCACAACAAAAGGTAAGCTTTGCCAAAAGGTGACGTCATTTCACACAACTCACCTCAGAAATAGTCCCCGCTGGTAACCCACCGTGTAAGACTTGATCAAGCTGTCCTAGAGAGGTCTTGAAGAAGGCAGGACACTCCTCGCGGCCAGCTGCATCATACATGGATAGTGCCTACAGAAGAAAACACAGAGAAGCCTGTTGACACAGAGATCAGCTCAGTTGGACACACAATATCATGAATTCCTATCACTCAGAGGACAAGGCATCTTGATTCTATATGTTCCTAAACAACACTCTCCCCGAGACTTAGCACACACTTCTGAGGTCCAGGATTAACCAAACACTGTCTACTGAGAATGGAAATATCAATGGTTCACTTTGTATGCCTGTCTTCTGTGGTCTTTACGGAGCAGCCATACAGGCCTACCAATTACACATGCCCTGGGTCGGCCAAAAAGAAAAACCAACCTTAACCTTGTTGCATGAAGCTAGTTTTAAACCTAGCCACACAAGAAAGCCTCCACACTTTTAGCAGTCTCCAGTCTCAATCCAACCATCTCTCTTTTCGAAGACTCAATATTAAGGGCTAACCTCCTCCAAAATTCAAGCTGCCATCTTATACGTCAACATCAGAAAAATTGCACCACTTGCTAAACCGCAACATTTTACTCTTTGTGCCATGTTTAGTCTCAGAAAGAATTTAGTAAATTACGTAGGTCAGTTAGTAGGAAAAAAAGTTTTACCATACCGTTGTTTGTCTAGGTAAACAAGCCCGACTGGCAACCAGCAAGATGTTTGTAAGCTGTGAGTTAGTCACTCCCGTCATCTTTAAGAGTTCCAGTCGAGTCTTGGACAAAAGGTCCTAGGGCAACAAAATTCAAATATCAGTGCTCAATACGAGCAGTGAACTAATAGCAGATGATATTCTGGTTGTCCCTTTGGATTTCCACATGTGCAAACACACTTCCTAACACTTCCTGTTTTCCCCATTTTAAAAATGGAAATGCAACAGGTTTCATTTGATCCTTTAAAGTAAAAAACAAGTTAGCTTCACTCTCTGATCAGTATTATAGTCATCCGCTCTTGAGGCTATTGCAAGACGCCACAAGACCATCACAAGCCCAACAGGAGACCTCCACACCAAATTCCATTCACAAGCTATCCATATGAACTATAAAAAAAATTCCACTGTCCTTGTTCACCCTGTTACTTATCACTGGTCTTGTGAATGGTTTGTGACTGGTCTTGTGACTGGTTTGTGACTGGTTTGTGACTGGTCCTGTGTCTGGTCTTGTGACTGGTCTTGTGACTGGTTTTGTGACTGGTTTGTGACTGGTCTTGTGNTCTTGTGAATGGTTTGTGACTGGTCCCGTGTCTGGTCTTGTGTCTGGTCTTGTGTCTGGTCTTGTGTCTGGTCTTGTGAATGGTTTGTGACTGGTCTTGTGAATGGTCTTGTGACTGGTCTTGTGAATGGTCTTGTTAATGGTTTGTGACTGGTCCCGTGTCTGGTCTTGTGTCTGGTCTTGTGACTGGTCTTGAGTCTGGTATTGTGACTGGTCTAGTAAATGCTGTTGTCTCTGGTCTTGTGACTGGTCTTGTGACTTGTCTTGTTACTGGTCTTGTGTCGTCTTATGACTGGTCTTGTGTCTGGTATTGTGACTGGTCTAGTAAATGCTGTTGTCTCTGGTCTTGTGACTGGTCTTGTGACTTGTCTTGTTACTGGTCTTGTGTCGTCTTATGACTGGTCTTGTGTCTGGTATTGTGACTGGTCTAGTAAATGCTGTTGTGTCTGGTCTTGTGACTGGTCTAGTAAATGTTGTGATGGTGTTGACTGCAACACTGTCTTTAATTTAAAATTATGAGGAACATCTACAATAAAATTTGAATTGAGGCCTCAATAGGAGCTGATGAAACACCATGGGCCCTACTCTGGACTTAAAAGGTATTTCAGAGAACTTCCACAGCTAAAGAGGGAGCGCATGAATGACTTTGTTTTGCTCACTTTTTTCTGCACTTGGCATTTTTGTGCCTTTGCAAATTGACACTGTCAAAGGTGTGCTTTCGTGCAACATCACCAGTATGCCCAAAACTGTTGTCAGCGTGCATGTTCAGAATATGTTTAGAGTTCAATAGATTTTTCCTGACATAATGTGCACACAAAAAATGGTGGGGAAAAAAAAGTGTAGGCTAAACAAAAATAAGTTGTGCTTCCTATTACACTGAAAAAGAAACTAGGGTGGTTGGTTGGGTAAAGTATGTCTTTTTACACTAAATTTTATAGCCCAAAAAATTTTGGTCGTATGATGGTCTGTATTTTTTTTGGGGGGGGCGCATATATTTGTAACAGGTACCAAATCAGTATCAGATTCATACTGCACATGTGCACGCCAATATTACATATCAGCACTGTGATTGAGTAGTAACGCAGCTGGTTGTTGTAATGCAAACACACAAGAGCCGTCCATGTCATGCAAAAAAAATATAAAAACAATACAATTTACAGGACGATGTTCACAAAATTAGGATCGGGGCAAGGCATCGTAAGTTTTTATATTTGATTGATTTGTCCAAAAAAAAGATATAATCTAGGTTGGGTCAGGTAACCAGAAACACAATTTTTTTTTGTTTGGCCTTATCTAACAATGTCCTAGGAACAGATCTTCTGCTTTTTTTGGCAAGTAAACCTTAAGAAAAGTTGAGTGTATGGTTTTCCAAAACAGACGATTTCAGTACAGTTACCTGACATGAGAAAACTCCATGTCTGTGAAGTCGTTCTATGACCGGTGGTGCAATGCCAAGGCGCTGAATTTTCCTCGATGACATGATGGTGAACAGATACCACCAATGCTCGAGCAAAAAGCCTCTAGCACATGAACTGAAACCACAGAAAATGTTACCATTGTTCGCACATGTAATTCAGGATGATTTCATCTGACTAATGAAACTCAACTCAATAAAAATCACCAGTAGAATAATTATTTTTTTTAACGTACTAAGAACATACATATGCATGTACACTACTGTTTTGATGGATCATTCAGTTTGACTTGCTGATAGAAATGGACATTATGCAAAGTGACAGTTCTGGTTAACCCCTTGACGCCGGGACTTTTTTCTAAATGCGGACCCTAAGAATTCCAGCCTCGCTTGGCCACAAAGGCCACCTGCCAAACAGCAAATTCTCAGTTTGTGGCCCTGCGTGCTCTGCACGCTTTGATTTACACAGTGAAAAGGCTCATTGTTCGGTGGCATGCGGCTCTATTCACCCTTCCACATTCCCGTTGCCTCTTTTCAAA